GTCAGCAGGATTTCAAATAGTTCCACAGAATGTAAAGAGAAAGTTCCACTAGAGAGGGAAAAGCAGAAAGTCTGGTTCTTGGAAATTTGGCTAAATCTTGTTCCAGGATCATGTTGGAAAAACCTCAGAATACACCAATGAAATATGTTACACGTGAACAATTCCCCCAGATGTTATGCATTGCAGTGGCCTTGATGTGAACATTTTGACTCACAGCAGAACTAAGGAGAGGTAGAAGAGTGAACTGGTGCACTGGTCCCAGGAATGAAGGGCATCCTTCATGAGAAGAGGGCATGAACAGGTCAGGAAATTCTGGGATTCCCAGCACATAGCTTCTTATCATAGCCATGGAGCTATGTGGAATCAAGCTGAGGTTGCTGAGGAAGGCCATATGAAGCAATAATGGTGAAAAATAAAGGCTCTTTTTCCCACTTTGAAATGATTAACACTGGATTTAGAAGACAAAAAAATACATTCTTATGGGGCTAAATGAATATACCATTCTGGATGATTTTCCAAATCTGACTTTTGTCCAATGCAAGCAATATTTACAGGGTAGTCTCTTGCTCATCACTGGCTATGAAAAAAATTCTCTTTGGAATTCAGTGAAGGAAAAGAAACAAAACCCCAAAATACCAAAAATTAAGGGCAGCATTGGATGAAAATAATAAGGACCATTTCACACATAAAGAAATAAGGTCTATGGAGAATGGAGAATTGGAGGCATTTGACTGACTTAGATAGCAGAGATCTGTCACTCATCCCTATGAGGAAAGAGACATCAGTATCTCACAAGGTGACCTGGATTATATCTACAAGAGCCATTGAGTATTACAGCTACAACCCAGGCCATTCTTTCTGCCAAGGATGGTGAAGCAACACAGATATACTTATTTACACACTGCATGAGACTGATGCCCATGATGTGCACATTTTATAAAGTATCACAGGCTATTAGAGTCTACAATAGGCCTAGGTGGTAACTGGGCTATGCACACACCTATTGTTACTCCCATGACAAGTATTTTCTCATTATGTATGGCCAAATGTTAAGTTCCGTTTAACCTTGAACATGCATCTTTAAGGGATTCCCCAAAGCTGGAGGAGTTGAAAAGGGGATGAAGTGGATTTAGTAGACCAGTAAAACTAGATTGTGAACTGGGATTCATGGAGAGTTAATATGTTTACTGTATAACTAAATCCAAAAAAATCAGTTAATTAGTAAAGAGTGGACAGCAACTAAAAGGGAATCAAGAAAGTAAATTGAGACCTAATCACCCTAAGTGTGCTTCAGATAGTGGTAAAAGCAACCCTGGGTTCAATCCCCAGTACCAAAAATGTCATCAACAAAAAATGTGAATGAATAAAAAAAGGAACTCACCAGGTTTACTAACTGTGACTGTGCTTTGGCAAATGAAGACAGGGCTCAGTTGGCAGCTCTGCTGCAGACTGCTGGATTGGGCTCCTCACTGCAGGATGTACTCAGGTCTGCTCTATGTGTTTTCATTCAGGGGTCCATGCTAAGTGGACATTAACTATCAAAGGCATGTTCTCATGGAATGTGACCCATGTCCAAGAACTCAAGTCCAACCATGCAAGAACTTTTTAATGCTCTTACTTAATATTTATTGATTGACCAATTCAAGGCATGTGACTCAAAATCAAGGGGCAAAAAAAGTACATTTTGGCCACTATGAAGCCATGCAATTATGTGGATGCATAATTTGATCACAAGAAATGAGAAACTGAAGGAAAAACTTGATCTCCAACAATCCTCTTAAGTTTTATTTTTATTCAAGCTCAATATTCCTTTTTTTCAATTACACTTTATAGGACAGTTTCTAGATCTTTCAGCATGCTGACCCTATTCTTCCATGTGAATTTTAGTACTTCAGCATTCCTGTTAAATCACAATGATTACAAGTCCACATGTGGTCTTACCAGTACTGATTTTGCCCAGTGAAAAGCTTTAATGGCAAAAAAGTTTTAAAATGTATCTAGATAAGAACACTGTTCAGAAAATATAAAAGAAATGAAATGGTTTGGGAAGTTTAAAAACATCAGCTGACCTTTTAAACTGAGTAATAAATTAAACATTTTTTCCCTCCTAAAGTACAAGGGAGATAATTCAGAGTAATATTCAAGAAATTATCCTCTAAATTCTGTTTTCTAATCTCAGGAACCAAATTTTCTACCTTGATAACATTCTTAGGCCACTTTGGAGTTTATAAAGCCCTTAAATATATTTTATCTAAATTAATTTAATTCTTAACAACTCTGAACTTGGCATTACTTTTGCCCTTCCTGAAAGATACTTCCTTTACCTAGTGAACAATGTCTTTCTCACTGCCAGGCCTAAAGGGAAGAGGCCTCTTCCCTCTGCCTGGAACATCCTTCCTGCACAACCCCCTTCCTTTACCTGCCTAGTTACCATTATCTTTAAGTAAATCTCAACTGCATGGCAGTCCATAAGCTGTGCCTAGCTTTCATTTTTCAGTAAATATTTATTGAGTGCCATCTAGAAACAAAGGACTCTACAAGGTACTGGGGATATAGCAGTGAACATAACAGTATAATCCATGCGCTTACATGGCTTAGCATCCAACTGGAGAGAGAGACATTAAACAAATAATTACACCACTAGCTAATTAATCACAACAGTGGTAAAAGGGATAAAGGCAAAGTACTATACTATCTCTTCCTTATTGTAGCATTTATTATGCTTTATTGTAATTAGCTATTTGGCTCTATTCACCAATATGGATGAAAGATATGACTATCAACTATATTTTCATAGCTTGGTATAACTCCTACTGAATACAAATACCAAATAAATATTTATGGAGTAGTTAAATAATCAGATGGACTTGCTCCAACTGCTAAATTAATGAGCTAGGAAAAGACTTGAATTTTGGATTCTGATTTCAATACTTCTATCTCTATTCAGTATTTCCAAGAAATTACAATGATTCTAATAATTCAATGCTAGCTTACTACATAACTATAAATGAAAAAGACTTAACTCATACATATTATTTATAAACTATGCCTTTCTGTAACAAAAACCTATGTATATGCAGGTATTATATAATGTGTATCTTATTAATATACACTAATATAGATATACTAATGACCTCATATTCCTATTTATTCTGACTTTACTTAGGCATTTATAATGGAATATGTTAAAAAAATAAATTTATAAATTTAACTGAAAAATTAAAAATGAGCTTGTGTCTAAATAAATGGTAATAACAGTAATTGCAAATAATATACAACAAAAATACAAATATACATATAATTTGGGGTTATGCTTAAATAAAAATCAATTTCTTAAATGTATAATTCAAAGTTTATGCTTCAGAGAATAACAATAAGAAATTCACTTATTATAAAATAATGGCTATTCTTTCATTCCGTAGGTCATATTCACAGCATGGCCAGTCTATTATCCAAACCTGGCTAAAGACATTATCTTACTGAATATTGAATTTTTCTTTGAGTTCACAGAAATTACAAATACAACAACAGTGGTAAAAGGGATAAAGGCAAACGTGCTAGTAAATCTTTTCTTACACTCTTCCAAAAGAATAATTTTAAGTTGGACTTTTGAAAACCCGACTAGTTCATTGAAGGGAATTAGCACCATCTAGTGAAAGAAATTGGTAAAATTTGAAAATGAAAAGAAAATAGTTTCTGTGCAAGGTAACCAAGCTGTGTAAAAAATACATAAAACTAGAGTTTTATTAACTTATACTGAACTTTAACAGACACCAGGTATTAATATTACATTTGTATAAATATAACCCTCAGCACAATCATTTAAAAAAATCTAGAAATATTCCTGTTATCGAATATTTACAAGGAAGATAATTTGCTATGTTGAAGGTGCCATTAAATAAGTACGATTATTAACACACTTCCTGGTCCTCTAACTTGCAATCAGAATTAAAGATCCTTCACTTTCTTCTATAGATGTTGGAAAGTCAAAAACTTCTGAAACTGGACAAATTAGTTTGGTTACTGCATATAGGATGAATTCACATGAAAATGTGTGTAAAGGGAAGACTAACCAGTTTTGGGTTGATGGCATTAATCTAGAGAGGAGATAACAAAGTCTGAACTGAAATGAAAACAAAGGGTCTAGGGAGAGTGGTGAAAGTTTACACTGGGTTTGGGGGTCATGACAACATGAAGAATGTCTCTTATGTAGCAATTTTTAAAAAAAATTGGTCATATCTCTTTATGTCTCTTTAACATTTTTTACTTTTTTTTTTTTTTTGCCTTATTCTCCCTACTAGAGGACAAGCGGGGAGCTTTTACATAGAGGTTAAAATGATGGAATTAAAATAATGTGTGAGGGTCACTTATTTTAATTGTATAACTGCTGTAGAGATAACTAAAAACACAGTGGAGTTTTCCCCTCTCTTTAAAAGTCTTCATGCAGAACTTAGGAGAAATCTTAATTATGTATATTAGTAACTCAAATCTGCAATTTTTGCATCATGATGAAAATTTTTAGCTAGTGGTTGAAAAGAAATTTGAGTTGGTCCTTTTATACTGCATCTTTGGATAAAAATATCAATTCATTGGTTTTTCTTTTCCTCTTAATTTCAAGATTAAATTATACTGCCTATCTCCCAAATGCACTAAGATGTAAATTAAGTGATGATTAGGACTTATAAATATAAAATTACAAATACCAAAAAGAACATATAGCCTATGGAAATTAACTTCTAATAAATACTTCAACTATACAGTAACATTGTTAGAATAACAAAATAAAACTACATTTTTTACAAGCTAAATTTCACTTAAAATTCTAAAACACTAACCAAAATTTTTATTTTCCTAGGTTCTTCACTTTATACTCTTTCTAAGAGTATTTTGCCTTGGTATTACATAAATTTTTATTCACTTGAATTCCTAAGCCTGCGAACTCCACTGAGGATGATCATTTACACTAGAAGGCTGACCATTCACAGCTATCAGATACATACCTGAATTAAGGAAAAACTGAGGAGAATCTCCATGAATGCCCACAATACCTGGCCCCAAGGAGTCAGACAGGGTATTCACAAAGGAAAACACTCCGCTCATGATTCCAAAGCCCAAGCCAGAAACTAAAAAGGAAGAAAAACACTGTTAAACCCTTTTCTTGCTATGATTTCTATTCAAATAAAAATTCTAAGAACTAGGGAATACTACTTTGCCAGAGGGGAAATGGTACATATGCTATTTTTGAAGCAGTGGCCAGCCAGCTCTGGAAAGGCATGTGCTTACCTACATGATGAACAAAGAGAAATGGTAAGAGAAAGGGAAATGAACAGTGGGATGCAGCAGAGAAATGAAAAAAAAAAAAGGATAGAAAAAGATCTAGAAACACAGAAGAAATAGATGAGGCAGAGGAGGATATGATGCTAAAGTTCTGGCTTTGGTTTATGGTAACAGAATCTACAGAGTTAAATTTGATGGCTTAGAACCAGAATTGAACTTGAAGGGTGACTATGCATGTAAGGCTTGATCCTGGGCTCAATTTAGAGACCTAAGCCCAATCTAAAAACATAATTCTGTAAGAATAACATGCAAAGATATGCCTAAAAAAAGATATGCCTGAATTAATATAAAGCAATCTGTATACAGGGTAAAGTTGGGAGTTCATAACCCACTTGAATCAAACTGTGAAAGATGATGTATTAAGAACTGTGTAATGTTTTGAACGACCAA